ATTTTCGTTTCTGCCGTTCACCAACGACGCCAGGAACGCAGCTGTTGGTTCAGTGAGTTGCCGTCTAGCAATGGCATTTTACCAACAAGACGACCTGACGTTTCCACTTGTTAACGACGCTATGGCGGCGCATATTGCCCCTCCACAGTGGACGTACACGACCTTAAAACTTGTTTTTAAATGTTGTACGTAGCACTATCAAATATTTCAAATTGACCTATTTTTAGGTAGATTGGCCTTAAGGTAGTAAACGACAGGAGTTTTACCGATGATATTAAAGTCAAAAATCTACATGAAAATGGTTTAGAAAACTCACTTAAATTCCGTGCCTTCCTCTCCTCCAACATGCATTAGCGATTTGTTGGTCCTTGACACAACCCAGAAACCTGCTCTTACAATCTATATTTTATTATTGAAGTTTTTACCTGTCAACAATGTCCATCCTCAAGCTCAACAAACGTTGAATAAAATACGAATTTATTGCAAAACATACCTGCTGTCCGTTCAAAACATAAACGAATGCGTGTGGAATTTAATTTCTCAAACCCTTCAAGCAAAGGTAGCGACGATGACATCACTCACATGATACATTTGTGTATCAAAAATAAACCCGATCTTACGTGCTTACTAGTTTATTGCAAGTTGTCGACACCGCCGCTAAGAGAAGCAACATTTTCTCTCTTGATACTGGATTGACACGGCGTAATGCACCGTCGTCTTGCATTTAGCTGCCTAGGGGACCATTTAAGCGCCCCCCTTTTATTTTTTGTATAGATATGCCCATGGAGAGTGGCATATCGGCAGGTGTCCGAAAAAGCCTTTGCTTGGCTTGCCTAGTGATACAGTTTGCATCCATGCATTGCAAGTGTTCAAACACCTTAACCTATGGCATGCTGACGGTTTAGCGCATATTTCCGTTTAAGTTACTTCCATTTGAAATTTCACTTAACCGCAGGAATTAAGCCCATGCATTGTCAGCATCAGTCGACAGTGTCAAACGGAACGGAGAATAACCGTTTTGTACGTATGGTATGTACGAATGCATGTATGTATGTATCTATGTATGTATATACGTATGTATGTATGTATGTATGTATGTATGTATGTATGTATCTATGTATGTATATACGTATGTATGTATGT